TAATCCAGAGCAGCTGTTTTCGAAAGTTGATCTTTGGCGACCTGGGGGTTCTCCCCCAGAATGGTGCTGTTCACATATGTTTTTAGCATCATTTACAGGAGGAAATGGCAGCTTACGTACATTTGTTTCTTGGGGGAGACGTGATACCTTTTATTAGATTCTGCGACTAATCCAAGACTCAGAAAAAGTCAAGAGCCACTGTTCTAGAGTATAAATAGAAGCAGAAGAGATGTGAAATAGCATCTTCTCCAATAATCCAACTGAAAAATAAACCTGCCTGCCTATGCTAGAACACCTCCAGAAATAGTGTGAGCTCTGTTCGTGAAGCCTCTTTCTATCTCTGGGGGGAACCATTTCCCCTGCAACTTCACGCAGCACTTGGTCTGAATTCCTATACCTTCCTACAATTCTGATCCAAATTTAACCACTTGGCATTTACCACAATGAGTCTAAACTCTGGTCCTCGTTCTCATCCTTAAAATATTTAAAGGCAGGTATTATGCTTTCCCTTCCTCCTAATCCCTTTTACCTTCTCAGAAAAGATCCTCGCAAGAGCACAATGTACTCGGTGCATTAGCAGGTGCTCTGTGGCCAGCCGCCTGGCAGCTCCAGCAACGACACTCACGGCAGCTGTAAGGTGGCCGCCACTTCTGACATAACTTAATTCGCCAATTCCTATGATGTAGGTTTATATGCTTTTAATTTAAGTTTGAACAGTTAATATATTCACATGGCAAAAAATTCCAAAGATATAAAGGGACATAAATGCTGTCCCCAGCCACCCAGATTCCCTTAGAAGGAATCAATGTTCTTATGTTTCCTTGCAGATATATTTTTTGCCTATACAAGCAGATATGCATTTTTTACACTTATATACACGCTGTATTGCACCTTCCTTTATGTGATGTCACACTGTATCATGAAATAAGAAAAGCAATGTAGGGAGTGTCCTGGAAACCACGTGAGAAAATGTTTCAAGGAGAGGAGGGTGTGCTCAGCTGTTATAAGATGAGGATTGAGGATGGACCACTGGGTTTGGCAAAAAGGAGGTCACTGATGACTTTGACAAGAACTGTTGCTGGGGAATGGTGGGGACACTAGCCTGACTGAAACGGATTCAAGAGAGAATGGGGGGAAGGAAGGTATCATTCATTGCAGACAATTTCCAAAGAACTTCGTTGTAAAGGGGAGTGAAATAATGGGGCTGTACCTGGAATCATGAGAGGGATTTTTTTAAGATGGGAGAAATGCTACCATATTTGTATGAAATTGGGAATGACCCATCGCAGCAGGAAAATAGAACGATGGATGATGAGAAGGAGACAATTACAATAGCAATGTCCTTCAACAGGTGAGGGGACGGGGTTCAGGACAACAAAAGGGCTGGCTGGCCTGTGGCAGGCACTCGGACGGCTCCCCCGGCGACCGGGAGGGAAAGCGGAGTGTGGCAGACGCGGCCACAGAGAGGGTGGCAGGGGTGGTGGTGGGAGGTGGCGTCAGCTGCCATTTGCCTCTCAGTTCTCACTCAGAAAAGCAGTGAGGATGGGTAGGAAAGTGTGAGATGGGAGTGTTCGCCTAGAAGAGCAGGACAAATAAACCGGGTTGCTGGGCACTGGGAGGGCGCCACTGAAGTTCGTGGTTAAGTTAGCGGTTGAGAATTTAAAGCGAGAGCAGTCGGTATGTTTGTGTTTTTTTCAACCATGTGAATAGATGTTTTGGGATGAAGTGCTAAATATAACTGGGTCTGGAGTTTGGGGGATGCAGACAACAGTGGGGCAGACAGAGTGAGATGCCCCCGGGGTTCCCTGAGCCCTGGGACACAAGCCTTCCCCTAGTACGGGCTGGACCTGGGCACGATGGGATGTCACTCCCGTGACGATGTTATCTTATGCTATGTAGCAAGAGATTTTGCCGGTCCCTAATCAAATGGGGATTATTCTGGGTGGGCCTGACCTAACCAAGCAAGCCTTCAAAAAAGGTTTAGGCCTTCTCTGAGCTCAGAGATGCACTCCTGCTGGCCTCGAGGAAAAAAACCAGTGCGAGCTCTGTAAGAATCGAATTCTGCCAGTCATTATGAGAGCTTGGAGGACTGTATCTTGGCTGGTGCAGTGTCGTAAGCCCTGAGACGCCTTGGCTAGGGTGTGCGTGGACCCCTGACCCATGGAAGCTATGCAAGCACACACAGGTGTTGTTTTAAGCCACCAGTCTGTGGTGATTTGTTACTGCAGCACAGAAAACTAATACAGAGGGAGAAAGAGGGAGGGAGTGAGGGTAGACAAAGATGGATTATAACGAAGGATTACAGAAACTAAGCTGAGGTAGGAGGGAAGCGGGAACGTGAGGAAGGTAGGGAACAATGAAAGAATGGGAGGATCAGTACATTTACCCTTCGAATATTTGCGGAGTATCTAAAATATGCTAGATACCATGATAGGAAAGAGCTCCAAGGAAATTAGTGGTCTCTGCTTGGTGGAGGAAGAACTAGCTAGTATGATATTGTGGTAATTCGTACTGGCTTGAACAAGCTCCGCATGGCTGTGAAGGTGTGTGTCTGCAACCCAGTGTGATTTGGAACCACAAAAGATGGGAGTCGTTTCCCGGGAGAGGCAGCTCTTGTGCCATGGTACTGGCCAGAATGTTAGAGGGTTTGCCGGCCTCCATGAAGGGCTGTGGGCTCAGATCCTAAAGCCCCAGGAAAGCCCAACTATGTGAGTGGATGCTGCTACTGTGAGGACCAGTCTGTGCAAGCTCCCGCAGGGAAGCATTCCTTGCAAAGGCCCTGAAGCAGGAGACAGAAAGAAAGGCACTTCCGAAACACTGCTGGAATGCAAACAGCCAGGGAAAAAGAGGCATCAGATGGAGCTAGAAGGAGAATCAGGAGATTGACTGTGTAAGCAAAAGTTTCACATATTCGGAGAAGGCAAAGCCAACTTAGTGCCACCGCAGGGCAGGGAGCGTGTTTTGAAACCTTTAATTAAAAGATTAGGCACCAAAGTGATTTTAAATGACAACTAATCTTTTAAAAATGCTCTCAAGTTCAAACGAATGACTAGCTCCATTGTGCAGTTTTTCCTTTTAGCCCAGCTATTCCCATGTGTAGTTTTACAACACTGCAACTATCCCCGGTGACCTTAAGGGACGTCAGAATTTTCAGAACAAAATTATATTTAATTCAAACAGTGAAACTATTCCATTACAGCCCTCATGAGAAACAGTGGAGGCTGACAAATGACAAAAAAAAAATAAGCTGTCTTAATATCGGAAAAGCTGGAAATCATTTGCTCCAATGTTTAGTTAATGAATGCGAAGCGAAGTTTCCGGTGGTACACGGTGCCACTGTCTGCGCGCCGCACTGCGGGGTTTCACGTCGCTTCGCCGCAGTGGAGACGGGCACGCAGGACAGCACAGCGAACAGCGCCTGCCCTCGCCGCACCGAAGCCTCATTCGTTACTCTTGCTGTCGCATCTGCGGCTCCGAGGCGGGCTTCGGTGGACCGCGCCGGCGACGCTTCCCCGACACCGCCCCCCAGCCCCCCAGCAGAAAAACTGTCTCCCACGAAACCGGCCCGGGGTGTGCAAAAGGCTGGGGACCGCTGACCCAGAGCGATCCGAGTCCCTTTATCGGGAGTCCCGGTCAGTCCCGCAGTCGTTCCGGAGCGTTCTCTGCGAGCCCGGACCTGCGTCTGCACGTCACCTCCGGACACCCGACCAGATGAGAGAGACGCTGACTGCGGTGACCCCAGCCTCGCTCCGGAAGCACATTCCTCTCGCGGCTTCCGGGACCCCTGCCCTCGGCGGCCGGACTCCCGCCTTCAGCCTGAAAAGGGCCTCCGGCTCCGACCACTCCCCTGAGCTCCAGTTCACACCCTCGAAATGATTTCCCCCGGCTTTGCTGGGGTGTATTTGACGAATAAAAACTGCATATATTGAAGGCATACAACTCGATGTTTTGGTAAACATTTTCATTGTGAAATGATTTCCACAATCAAGGTATTAACACATCCATCAGCTTACAGGGTTGCCTTTCCCAGTGTGAGAACACAGGCTCCACCCTCTTGGCAGGTTTCAAGTGTACAACGGAGCAGTGTTAGCTGTAGTCGCCATGCTGTGCTTCAGACCCCTAGAACCTGCTCATCTTGCATGACTGGAACGTGGCGCCTTTGACCAACGTCTCCTCGTTTCCGGCTCCTCAACCCCTTGCACCCTCCATTCTGCGCTCTGCTTCTAAGAGTTTGGCTATTTTAGATTACGCGTGAGATCATGCAGTATTTGTCTTTCTGGGTCTGGCTTATTTCACTGAGCATAATCTCCTCTAGTTTCATCCATGTTGTCACAGATGTCAGGATTTCCTTCTTTTTTAAGGCTGAGTAATATATGTATTTTATAATATGTGTGTGTATTATCCATGCATCCATCCACGAACACTGAGGGTGAGTCCACATCTTGGTTATCGTAAATAATTCTGCATTGAACACGGCAGTGCAGATTTCCCTTCAACATACTTATTTTATTTCCTTTGGATTATACCTAGAAGTGGAATTACTGGGTCATATGATAACTCTATCTTTAATCTTTTGCAGAAACTCCATATTCTTTTCCATAACAGTTATACCAATCTACATTCCCATCAACGATGCGTGAGGTTTCCTTTTTCTCCATATCCTTGTTTTCTCTGGTTTTTTTGATAATAGACATTCTCACAGGTGTAAAGTGATATCTCATTGTGATCAGAATGATTTTTTCTTTTCAAAAATTATTTTTAATTATTATGGATCTATAATAGTTGTACATATTTTTTTATTTCAGAATATTACAGCAGTACAAATGTTTTAGTTATATGCAT